AGAGTTCTGGTCTGTGTGACAGAGCCTCAGTCTGTAGCAGCAAATTAGTCATGTGTATGGCTGTTATTTATATCTGATTTCTAGCCTTGAGGATTATTTGGTGCTATCCTGCAATGTAACAAATACTTGATGGGCTTCCCAGGGAATCAACAATGAGATTCCTGAATGATTGATGGCTTTAACTCTGGAGTAACAAATCATTGATTGGGTTTGGGGCTACTCCTGGATGAATGGATAGGAAAGGTGAATAAAGACACAGTCTAGGGTGAGAAGGAAATATGGTCTTTAACTACCTTGTGATGGTACTTGCTCAATCCTTTCTGTGAGAAGATATGCAGAGCATCTGGGCGAGAATGGAGTGCTCAGAAAATCCATTTAATCTTTATTTAGTGCTATCTAAATCTTTCACATGTCTTTGAATTAATGCACCTTTCCCATGGGAAACTTCCTAGTGTTCCAAAGGTCATCATAACCTCTTAAAACATACCTGGCTCTAGATATCAAAATATGAAAATATGAAATCCCATATTCAGCAGAGAAGTGTAGGATATGCTAATACTGACAATAATTTTCCAGGTTCAAGAGAGGACTCTTTCCCAATCTTGCAATGCAGTGGATTGAACAGTAAGCATTTTTCATGCACACCATATACTTTCCACAGACCTGCAACCTATTTTGTTGCTTGACTTTAATCCCCCACTCTGCTTTTGGGGAGGGTATCGGGTTGAGGGAGGCTTCACCAAGCAAGCCATCATCTACTGCTCTTCCAGAATCTTCCAACCCAGAAGATGGAGCTTTTCCAGACTTCTTGGACTCAAAAGACACCCAGTTAACCTTATCTTCATTACCTTGATGCTGCAAGAGTTGCAGAACAAGGCAAATTCACGGTTGCAGAACATGGCAAGTTTTGGGGTGTTGTTGAAATAACTGTTCTTTTGGTATGATGTTTAGCCAGAATCTACCACAGAAATCTTACATTATAGAAATCAGGTTCTGATCTTTCTTTATCAGATGTGATCTAGCTTTTCTAAGCTCTCTCCAGTCTCCTACAACTCAGCCTGTTATGGTATTCCCAGGGTAAACTACTGCCAGAGGTTGGAGGCTGCATTGCACCGTATGGAACCTCAGAGGTTAACACCCCTCTTCCTTATACATTTCCATTAAAAAAAAATATTTTTTTTTCAAAGGGGGGATTTGGCTATATTCTCTCCTCCTCTCCAGGGCTGTTTTAGGACAAGCATGAGTACAGAGGGTATGGAACATTTTATGGGGTAGAAGGAAGCCCTTGTAAGTTTCATAAATGGCCCTGGAGTTCTGCTTGCAGCTTATCAGCTCCCATCCCTGTTCTGTGTTGAGCTAGGTCTTTCCCTTGATTTAAAGACTGAGAGTTAGGTTTCAGCAGAGGAGAAGAATTCATATCTTTTGGTAGCTATAATTTGCTAAGAGAAATCTCTTTCCAACCTTCTCTGTATATCTATGTGCCTTGGGCACATTCAGTCTTGGTCTTTTCAATTTATCTCTAAAAGCAGATGTTTCCCATGAGCTTGTGAGATTTTTGCCATTTTCTAACCAAAAAGGGAAAACCCAAACTTGTGAGGTCTTCTGAGTCACAACCAAAACATTCATACAGTGCCAGGAACAATAGAATCCACTTCTCAATAATTTTCTGTGTTGGAAACCATTTCCATGAAGTTCTTTGGAAATGTGAAAGCAACAATGTTTTCTACAATATAGTCTATTATTATTATTATTATTATTATTATTATTATTATTATTATTATTATTATTATTTATTTAGAACACCTGAAGGATGTGCTACAAAATTTGGCACTTGATGCAAGAAGATGCTATAGAACAACATCACATCCAATATTTGTTTGCTTTGGTCTAATTTGATCAGCAGCATCTCTCATGGCAGAAGTCTTTCTCAGTGTTTTCTACTTTGTTACTTTACCCAGAAATTGCCAGGACTGAACCTATGTTCTTTTGCATGCAAAACATGTTTACTACTGCTTCCACTGCAGAATTTGGGAAAGCTTCTTTTTGGACTACAACTCCCAGGATCCCACAGCTGAGGACTTGAGGGAGGGGTTGTAGTCCAATAAAGCAAATTGCTTACCCTATCAACAAACATGAATGGCTCAGCAGCAATATCTGGGTCTAGTGATCTGAAACAACTTTAGACTGTACTGTTGACATGAGGTTTAGGTTTTCTTAAAAAAATAGTAATATTTATTCATAGCCATGACATGCCAGAAATTCAGTTCAAGGTAATGTTGTTATGAATATCTGTGAATGCACCAAGTGGGCGTGTTGGGGTGGCTGATGGAAGGACAGGAGTGAACATGAGTTTATTTGCAGCTCAAACTGAGACCTAAAGCAGAAGATAGCCAAAAGGGGAAATATTTGCTTTCCTTATCAGCATGACAAATGGACTTGAAAATGAAGGAATGTTTGAAATAAAACTTAGTTCTGGCATCTTGTGTTTAAGAATAAGACTAGGTCTACTCTTGGTTACCTAATATGAAGATTTAATAACTCCCTTTTCATGCCAAAGAATTTACAAAGTGGATCATACAATTTAAAAACAGCAACAATAGCCAAATCAATTAAAAGGCAGAAAAACCAGTGTAAAATCCAAAATTGAATGAAAGTTGGGCAAACTGAAAGGACTTCAGCTGGCACCAAAATATACTATCAGCAACCCATTGATAACTCTGACATTTGTTTCTTTAACTAAAGAAGGCAATGAATGGGATCCATTTGTTCCAATGTTTCATTCATTACAAAATGAACATACACTCTTGGAATAATTCCAAGTATGCATTTATCAAAGTTCTGGATCAAAACACTATGTGCTTAACATTAATAGTGTGTTGAATTTATTGTTAGCTATTAATATATCTTTGTTTATTCAGTAACAAAATGTGCATAGTTCTTCAGGAATGGCACTCTTCTTCCAAACAGATTCCCACCACCAATGTTGAGATATAATGAAGTGACAGAATGGGGCTGGTGCAACGAAGCAGAGATCTTATTTTCTCCATAACTTTATTGGTGGATCTATCTATCTATCTGTCTATCTGTCTATCTATCTAGCTATCTATCTTCTTAATAAAAAGTAAATAAATTATAATCCAAACAAAATTAAGGTTATAGACTAGAATTCATGATTGCAGATACAAGTGTATAACCTAGAGTTATACATTTGTAACTGATTTGTATTCATGATTCCTATGATTCCTAGTGTAGTAAATAGGTTGATTTGCTTAAGGTCACCCAATGGGTTTTCATGACTGAGCAGGGATTCGAATCCTGCTTTCCAGAGTCCTACTACTACAGAGAAACTACTACAGCATGCTGGCTTTAGAAAATAGGTAGAGATTGCAAAATAGCTAGGGAGAATCTAACACTGGCAATACACTTTATTAGAACCATATCTCAAAGGAATGAAAACAAGACTCTCTAATATACAAAATTAACCATAATATAATGTACATAACTACATTGTAATGATACTAGCAAACACACAAATACATAATGCAAAATGCCATGGAAAACTGTATATTCCAAACAGTTATATGGATGGAGTAAAGCAAACTATAAACAGATAATATAAGTCAGCAACACTGTAAATCCAGGAAGACCTTAGTCACTACTGTGAACAGTATATCCTGGAGATGAGTAAATGTTCCTGTAGTAGAATATACACCAGGGGTAGGCAACCTAAGGCCCGGGGGCCGAATGTGGCCCCACAAGGCCTTTGGACCGGCCCCAGGCTGGTCCTGCTGCTGCCGCCCCCCGCCAACCCCCGCCGCCGCCTCCACTGCCCGCCATGATGATATTGATTATTGTTTTTATTACTTGTTCTTGGGGTTTTCTTGACAAAATTTCCACAAGGGTTTTGCCATGGCTTTTCTGGGGCTGAGAGAGTGTGCATGCATATTTTTTAATTTTTAATTTTTTTAAAAAATATATTTTTTAAAATTTATTTATTTATGTATTTATTTATGGTGCTTTGCCCCCCCCCCCCCCATTGTCTGAGGGACAGCAAGCCGGCTCCCGGCTCAAAAAGGTTGCCTACGCCTGATATACACTGAGATCAAAAGTGTAAAATTTCCCTTATCCTGACTTAATCAGGCAGTAGTGATAACAGAACAATGACAGTCTGTTGTTCTCATAACTAGGATACAGATGACTGATGGTCCCATCCCACTCCTGCAAGTGATCTCCAGTGCAAGGAGGAATTGCAACAGGGATCCTGATTCTGACTGTCACACTGGAGACCACTGGTGAAGGGATATGGAAATGCCAGTCAGCTGCACCCCGATCCACAGAAGAACAGACCTCCATTGGATTCAACAGGTGCCTGGCTAAGTAAGGATGTGAGGGAAGAGTTAGACCAGGAGACACTGATCTAGGGGTTATTCAGACTTTTTTTTTAGCATGTCTTCTGGCAGTCTGCTAAGGCCCTAACCCATTCAAAATGAGTTGAACAACAAAGATTCAACCCATACTCTATGGGGATTATTTTCACTGTCTGAATAACCCCATAGAATCTTGACTTTAGTTGTGCCCATCTTTGAATTTGCAATTCATGTGACACAAGCAAACTTTGGTATCCATCAGTTACCACCTTTCTGGCCTATAGCCATCAGTAGCACTTTTTTACTGGTTCTTTAAAAGTTGACTTTTTTATTGTTCTAACTGCAGTTGCTTCTTTTAGGCTGGGTGTTTCAGCATTTAGTTCTGTCTGCCTCATTAGAAAGTCCAGTGTTCCTATCATTCTGCTTTGCCATGTTGTAAGTTAGAAAAGTTACATTTTCTGGCTTATGTGATGGGGAACCATCATGCAAAAGCAGCATTTTTCCATTTTAATCTGCTTGCACTCATTTTAATGATCTTTGACACTGAAGAGGATGAGATTGTCTTTCTCTCTGCAGATGGAAGGTACATTTTGAAAAGTCTTTAAAAATACCTATGCCTATACTTATAGTAGAGCCAGTGTGGCATAGTGGGTTGAGTGTTGAACTATGACTCTGGAGACCAGGGTTTGAATCCCAGCTTGGCCATGGAAAACCAACTGGATGACCTTGGACAAGTTGCACTCTCTCAGCCTCAGAGAGTCAATGGCAAATCCCCTCAGAAGAAATATGCCAAGAAAGCCCCATGATCGGTTCCCCTTAGGGTCTCCAGAAATTGGAAATGACTTAAGGGCACACAACAACAACAACAACAACAATGCTCATAAGAGGTAGAATTCAAAGATGTAGCCGTGTTAGTCTGTAGAGTCAGTATATAGAGAGATCTTGTAGCACCTTTGAGACTAACTGAAATAAAGAAGTTGGGCAACTTCTTTATTTCAGTTAGTCTCAAAGGTTCTACAAGATCTTTCTACATACAAATGCCCATAAGAGCCAGCATGACATATTGGTTTGAGCATTGAGTGTGACTCTGGAGACCAGGGTTCAATTCTCAGCTTGGCTTTGAAACCCACTGGATGACCCTGGGCAAGTCACATGCTCTCAGTCTTCGGGAAAGGCAATGGCAAAATCTGAACAAATCTTATCCAGAGAACCCCATGATAGGTTCACCTTGGGGTCATGAAGAGTCAGAAATGATCTGAAGGTATACAACAACAAGAACAAATGCCTACAAGATATAATCCAAGACAACAGCCTTTTTTAGAGTTAAAAATCTTTTATACAAGGTAAACCTATAACTAGGGAACAACTGAAACTAAAAATACAAGATTTTACAATCAATTGGCTACTTACAGAGCAAGTACTATTGTTAGCAAAACAGTTAGTTAAAATACCAGGAAACCTGAGAGCTCTAACAAAGTACGGTATGAAATGGTCTGTTTTGCAGAGGAACCCATTATTAAAGGTTTAGTGATGTGGCTTTATGGTTGGTTAACTGAAGAAAAATTCCACATTCAGTCCAGGGCTAGAATAGTGTGGGAATCTGACATTAAAAAAGGAAAAGAAAAGAAAAGAAAGAAATTACAGAGATGGAGTGGCCTAAAATTTACTGTATTTGGTGTCCACAAATATAAGAGAATTCACATTAAAAATTAGATATAGATAGCATTAAACCCCAACAAGAATGAGTAAAAGCTATCCTAATGTGGCACCATTCTGTTAGAGGTGATATGTTATGATCTTTGGCATGTTAGGTACTTTGTGTCATATGTGGGTTTCATGTAAAAAAGTCTAGTAGGTTTGGATGTACGTGATTAATTTCATTATGTGATAGATAGGAGAGGGAGTTTTTGTGTGGAAAGCTTTTATTATTTTCAGTCTTTACAAAAGATAATGAACATTTTAAAAATAAAGAGGTGATAAGCATGATGTTGATAGCAGCAAGACAAGAAATTGCATGTTGGTGGAAAACCGCAAAAGAGTTATGTGTTAACCAATGCTTAAATTGAGTTTGGCACATCGCCTTAATGCAGCGGTTCTCAACCTGTGGGTCGCGACCCCAACGGGGGTTGAACGACCAAAACACAGGGGTCGCCGCTGGCTAGAACGAAGCTTCTGACGTCACTCAGAGGAGTAGGAAGGGGTGGGGCCTCGGCTTTACTGTGGCGCCTGGTTCAAAGCAACGCCTTTGGAGTACCTTGAGTGCGCGTGCGAGGGTCCGTTGGGACGGCGGCCGATGAAGGACAAGAAGGTGCGGT